AGAAGCTCCATATTTGTGTCCAGTATAAATAGTTAAATAGTAACATAGACAAAGTTAACCTTTCCTGCTTTTATTTTTGGCCTGCCTTTTTTCACTTATGCCACTTTTACCTGGTCATAAGTAAATGAAGTTTAAAATGGAACTGGTCATTTCAGTAACAGCCAATTATATTTAAAATTCACTTGGTAATCTTAGGAAATTGTTTATAGCCATTTTAAAAAATCCTGAATTATTTTGATAAAGTGGGTGTTTTGTTTGTATCCGTTTGGGATGTGTAAGCAACAGCAGTGTCTGATCATGTCTGTTAAGTTTTTGCTGGGTGTACCAGCTCAGCAGGCATGAAGGATCCCTGTGTAGCTCTAGACTGACTAGCACTGCTGTGGCCATGAGCGAGTGGGCGCCTGCAAGACTTCAGGGATAGTACCATATCCTTTTTTCTTTTCTAAATGGATTTGTTAGAGGTTATAGTGGTTGCAGCTACCACAGTCATTGAAGTGTAGCCTTCTTATGCTTGTAAGTTGGATGTGACTCTGAATTAAGCCCACTTAAAACCTGGGAGGAGGGGGGAGAGGGAGAAAAAGGGTGGTTTTTCTGGACAAAAGTGTACTATAGTGGGTTACACGTTTGTTTAAGGTGTTTCCTTTTGGAAACAGACAAGTGCTACAAGAGGGTGCTGTAGTGGCTCAATCTGAAGATGGGGTTGCATATGAGAGGGTTATTCTTCCTCTTGGTCGTAGTTGTTCAGAGCTTCTTTTTTCTTTTTAGTTTAAACTTATATCCCAGGCATATGAAGTTCTGTCGGACCCAAAGAAAAGGGACCTCTATGACCAGGGTGGGGAGCAGGCTATTAAAGAAGGAGGCCTGAGTGGCGGCAGCTTCTCTTCACCCATGGACATCTTTGACATGTTCTTTGGTGGTGGAGGCCGAATGAATAGAGAGAGAAGAGGTACACAGTTCTAAAGTTGTAGAAACTAACCATGCACTTAAGCATAAAATACCTGTGCTATGGTACTGCTGTTCTGCTAAGTGCACATAGTGTGGATATTACTTGTTGCAACAATAGAATAAGTAAATAATGGGGCATGGGTAGTCTGTAGGGGAGGGGGAAACATTAGTAGATCAGCAGTTGAATTAGACCTGTTTTAAGTTACCTTTTTTTTAGATCTGTGCCTCACTTGCTCATATGCTTTAAGCAACTTGCTTCAAAGGACACCATCAACTTAAACTTCAGTAATGTTAAATCTGATTAAAATATTTGGTAGAAATTATGTGAAACTTGAGTAGAGAGTGCTGCCCGAAGCAGAGTCTGATTTTTGTCTTTTTCATGCCCACTGTGTGTTGGAGGAGCAAGTAGTAACTTGCTGTAAAATGCTTGAAATTATGCTATGAAGCAGAATGGAAATTTATAGGTAGGCATAATAGCGACTTCTGAATTGACAGATCTGAAGCTGGTAGTGTCCTTGCATCCTGCTGTTTCAGTTAAGCATATAAAATGAGGGGTAGGAGCAGGGATAGGGTGGCTTTAATGATGCTTCGCTTAATTACAGCACAGCTTTTATGTTTGGACATAAATGGGTGCAGCTGATGGAACTGCACATGCTTTTAAGGGGGCTGGGCTGTGTTCAAAGTTTGGAATGAATTTTGCATTTTTTCAGCAAGACTGCATGAACATTTGTCTTCACAACAGCTGAATAAGTATTAATCTTTCCCTTTTGTTTTTTTAAAGGCAAAAATGTTGTACACCAGTTAGGTGTATCTCTTGAAGACTTATATAATGGTATTACAAGGAAACTGGCACTGCAAAAGAATGTTATTTGTGCAAAGTGTGAAGGTAAAAAAACAAGTAGTGGTTTCAAACCCCTCTTTCACCGAGGTCTTTTTTTTGTGTGTGTGTGTGTGTGTGTGTGTGTTGTCCGGGGCTGAGAACAAAGTCTGGAGGTGTTCTTACTTTTCTCTCTCCTTTCTCAGCACCCCTCCTTTCTGAGAGTCTATCAAGGTATTTAGTTCTTACTTGTGCTTAATCCAAGAATAAGGCTCTCTTAAACACAGTAGTATAAAGTGATCATTCTAATGCCAGATTAAAACTCACTGTGAGTTAGTTAAGGGTGCCTAAATTTAAAGTATCTTCATCCAGAAATGTCTGTAAAACCTTTTAGTTGCTGTGGGTACAAGTTTAGCTTGTGTTACACACTCATTTTACAGTTACTAAGTATCCATAATGACTGGTTTTCTTTGAGGCAAATTTTAGTGAAGTGTTACGTCTTAGTACTTTATTAAATACTTAGCAAGCAGATCTTTTTCCAAGTATTCATGGGATGTCGAGGTCTTGAAGTCAGTATGCTGATAGTTCCTTGAAAACCAGGATTCACTGAGAGGTGGGGCAGAGGCTGATAAAATAAGCCGTGCAAGCATTTTGCTTGTAGAAACTTCCAACTTGTGGAGCATGTTTTGTGATGGCAACACAATTCTACTACTGAACTACTCTTAAATTACCCTAAAGATGCTCTTGAAGTAACTGAGTTCCACCTGACTGCTGTGGAGCAAGTCTTTTTGAGACTGAGATCCAATTTTACTCTTTTTGTCAAAGGTTATGGCGGAAAGAGAGGGGCAGTAGAAAAATGCCCTGTGTGTAAAGGAAGAGGAATGCAAGTTATAGTTCAGCAGATTGGACCTGGCATGGTACAGCAAATTCAAACTGTGTGTCCAGAATGCAAAGGCCAAGGTGAAAGAATAAATCCGAAGGACAGGTGTGACAACTGCAATGGCTGTAAGGTTGTAAGAGAGAAAAAAATCATAGAAGTTCATGTGGACAAAGGTAAGAACTGTATATTTGTACTGTGTCCCTAATTGTAGTCTGCAGTTCTGCTGAGAATAAAGGGTTTTCTTTTCTCCAGGTATGAAAGATGGTCAGAAGATAGTATTTCACGGAGAAGGTGACCAGGAGCCTGATTTGGAGCCTGGTGATGTTATAATTGTGCTTGATCAAAAGGATCACAGTGTCTTTCAGAGGCGAGGGCATGACTTAATCACAAAAATGAGAATTCAACTCTCAGAGGCGTTATGTGGTTTCAGAAAGACCATTGAAACTCTGGATAACAGAGTTCTTGTCATATCATCTAGGCCAGGTAGGTCTTAAAAGATTTCTATATAAACTGCCTGCCTGTTTCATTGTGCCTGGACTGAGGTTTTTTTGAGGGGGTTATTCTGTTTTCTGTTTTGCCTTTTTTCTACACCAGATGATGTGACAGATTTAAAATACACTTGGCACTCACTTCATTTAGTTGGTTCTTTGTCATTCTTGTCACTCCTTCTAAAACATCTAATTCAGCCTGAAAGCTGTGCCAAGAAAAGCTGATTCTCTTACAGGAAATAGCCTAAATGGCCTCAGTTCTGTAGAGTGTTTAGTCTGCAGTTCAGTCTGTTGTCTTTCCTAGGAGTCTCAGGGAGATGCTAAGCAATTGTGTATAGTCCTGCTTTTGGTGGTTATGAAATGCCTGTCGCTTAAGCTTACTCACAGCTCTTGCCTCTATGTAGGTGACGTGATAAAACATGGTGACCTAAAGTGTATCTACAATGAAGGGATGCCTGTCTATAAGTCTCCAATGGACAAAGGTAGCCTAATTATACAATTCTTGGTAAGTTGAATGCTTTTCTATAGCAAAGGTATATGTGTTGGCATCAGGAGTAACTATTCATTTTTAAAAAAAAAAATGTGCAAAATTGTAGGTCCAGTTTCCAGAGCACTACTGGCTCCCAAGGGAGAAACTGTCTCTTCTGGAGGCTCTGCTTCCTCCACGAGAAGATGTTATGGTTACAGATGAGATGGATCAGGTAGACCTTGAAGATTTTGATCCAAATGAGCAAACCTACCGTAACAGTGGGGGAGAAGCATATGAAGAGGATGAGGAGGGTCCAAGAACAGGAGTACAGTGTCAGACATCTTAAAGCAAGGTGGGGTGAATGTCATCTAAAATGTAAATTTTCACAATGAAAACTGCATGGCTGTAATAGCCACTGCTTGTGGGTTTTGTGTTCAGCAAATTGAGTTGCTGTGCTGTCAGTATCACCTTTTTGTAACTAATTTATATTGTGTTCTTGTCTTTCTATATAAAGCCAGTGTCACACAGCTGAGAACCAACTGAGTTGGTAAACATTTTTCTTTGCTGTGAAGGTTCTCAATTTATGTCACCTATGCTATTTATATAAGACTTGGGCAATATTGATAGAAGCTAAGTGGAGTGTCTTATGTAAATACTTTCATACTGGAAAATGAATTTCATAGAATAAAACATAGCAGAATAACTTCTAATAAATAGTACTTCACATTTTATGCTGCTTCTCTTGTATTTTCTAAGCCACCCTAGAACCCCCTTTATTTAAGTAATTTTTTCTAAGCTTAGACTTCTCTCACCTAGTCAGCTTTGTGTTAGCTGCAACACTAGTACCTGTCTCATTTTGTACTTCCAAAACA